ATTGTGCTCAGTTTATTTTAATTGTTATAATAATTATATAATATAATAATTATATATATTATATAATAATTATATATATATAATAATTTTATTTAAAATACTTTCAGAAGAACGTTGATGGTAACTTATCAGATTCATATATGGGCAATTACAAAACGTGTAATGAAAGACGTTGGAGTTCAGTAAGCAACTCTTTTGATACGCATAAAATAAAATGTGAGTACAACGACAGAATATCAAATATGAGATCAAAGAAATATGATGAACCGTCAAATAATGATTTTCGTCAAGAATGTAATGATGTATTCATTAATGCCACTGTGGATTTATCAGACAATGGTGGCGAGCAAGACTTGCTTATAAATAAAAGTCATAAAAATGGTGAGCAATGGCATATAAATGTAAGCACAAGTTCAAGAAAATTGGATGCTACAGATGAAAGTGATAATATATGCTTGCTGACACCTGAGGAAAAGACTGATTCAGAAGAACTTACATTTTTTCCTAGTAGTGACATAATATCTTCATCAAGTGATCACTATGAAGAAGATTATGTCAGAATTCGTAAGAGTGAATATGAAGATATAAAGAATCGAGTTTCTGCGATTGAATCACGTATTTCTCAAGAGTTTGGATGTATATATAACGAGAAGGATGATATCACTACACATTCGCTAAATAACATACAAACAGCGTATGAAAAAACATTAGAAGAGGCTAGTATCGAAAATACTCTAACAAGCGACTATCTAGCAAAAAGACTGAGTAAAGAACTAAAGATCAGAAGATCGGGAGAACATAAAATAATAAGATCGCCTAGCGCAAGAAAAATTGGATCATTAAGAAGACGTTCACAAGAAAAAGTTGCAAGGTAATTGAATTACATTTAAACTATGATGTTTTTTGTGTAAATAATATACAATTATTATGCATTTTAAAATTTTATTTTAAGTAGTGCATAAATATCCTTTTAAAAATATAGAATCTTCTATCATGTGTAGAATAAAATGTTCAAGTAGTAATAGTTGTATAAAAATAGTTGTAAAACTAATATAAAATTATCATTTTTATTGTTTTACTGTTTACAGCAAACGTATTAGAAGAACTGCATCATGGCATATATCTCCAGAATTCAACTTACAACATCACGTACAACTTGAAAGACAAGTAAATGTTTGTCCCATCGAAAAACAATCGATTTATTCTAATAAATACTTGAAGGAGCATTCTGCCGAAAAATGTAATGAAAATATTTCTAATAATATGAGAGATGAAATAGCCTGTTTACACAATCAAATTAACACATTGATTTCTCGTTCAAGCGAACATAAAATTACAAATAATAGTGACTTGGATCTTTCTGGATTTAAAGATCTGCATTTGAATAATAATCATACGACCACATCTGTACGTAGAGCGTCATCTTTTCATGGAAAAGATTTCGTAGATAACTCATCCTATTTCGATAAAAAGATCGATGAATTAAAAAAGGCGAATAGTCATCAGAATATAGCCTTACACAATGATTGTTTACTAAGCGATAAGACTATTTTCGAGGGCTCGAATAAAATATCTTGGAAAGATGCAGATAAATATTTTAAATCAGTGTCCCGAAGAAATACACCTGCTCCACAAACTGGCAGAGCATCCGTCGCTAAACTTCGAACGCAAAATGCTGGTATGGTACTGGCCAAAGCGAGATTATTTGACGAGGGCACAACAAAGAGATCCGAATTTAAATCGAGTAATGTATCAAATAGAAAACATTGTCTCGACAATGTAAATAAACATTCTTCCAATGTAGCTAAAGAAATGAATACTGAATGTTTCAAACAAACATGCAACAGGACACAAGTCTCTCGAAAAAAATCCAATAAGGATTCGAAAAATAAAAATCGTCATGCAGTGTCATCTCCAAATGCATCACCACACATTAAAACGCAAATAATAGATGCGTCATTAAAATCGTTTCAAAATGGATTGAACGAACATTATGTGCGAAAATTTGAACTGCAAGATCAAAAATGTTCGAATAAGGAACCAATTATACATCAAACTTTCACCAAAGATAAAGGGATCAATGTCGTACATGACACAAGAATTCAGAAAGAAAACATCGCTGCAAAAGGATTGCCGTTGACGAAGATGCCTGTCAGTACAACGTTAGAAAATCCAAATATGTCTCCTTATAAATCAGATGTTAGCAAAACCCCGCATATTAAGCGACCTTTAACAGTAAAAACACCGAAAAGTTCCAAATTAGTGCGTAGACCTCCAGTTGACACACGTAGAACACCATTGAAAGCAACGGCACACTTAGGAACCCCAAAACGTCAAAGTCCTAAAAGTATCTTGAAAACACGAACTCTCAGTATGCATACGTAACAGAAAGTCTAATCATAAGTACTATATGTTGACTTAGTTTTACATATACATATATATACGTTATTTTAAGAAGCTATAATTTTTATACAGTTTTTATATATATAAACAATATCTTTTGTGGTGTTTTTAATATATTTAATACTTATATTAGCAGAATATATATAAGAAAGTTACTACAAATAGAAATAGGACATCGCAAGCAAAACTGATAGTCTATGCGTAAGCGTTTAAAATCACATTTTTTTCTTAAAAAAAAAAGTGATTTAAAAGCATTCTTGCATCTCTATAGTTTAGTACAAAATTTACTTTTTTTAAGGCTAAAACATGAAATATTTGAAATATCTTTAAGGCTAGTCATTGCATCTATCTGTGCTCTCATTTAAATATATAATCCTCATTCATTGTCATTCGATGACAAATTCAGGTGTACATGCAATATTCATATTGTTGCTCATTAAATAACATGTAATACAAATCAATACAAATCATAATTAATATTTGACTTGTGAATATATCTATTACAAGGAGACTAATTATATGTCATTATGTTTGTGTTAATTTTCTTTTTCGCTCGCATTTTTCTTACAGAAGAACAGCCACGTTTAAAAGAACGCACCCGCTTTCTTTTAAATATTTGTGATATATTGTCACCTATCAGTGTTTTATCTGCGAAAGCAAAAATCATCGCGATCCACGTGGTTCAACGATCACGACACGATAATTCGCGTAACCAATCACGTGGCACCGCTTGTCCTTTGCATGCTGTCACAATACAATGGTTGACATTTCACATCTTACATAACTGACAACGCGATGATTGTAATTAATAATGCGATATTTGCCTCATTAAATGTTCTCATTAAAAAGAAAACGCATTAAAAAAAGAGGCCGGAGTATCTCTTCTGAAACATTTATATACGCGAATAAATGATTCGAAGATTACCGCGATTACGGATATTGTCACGATATCAGCGCCACATTAATATCAACTCTCAGCGTGGCGTTGTTTGTGTGCGCGCATACGTTTGTTCACATACAGTTGTCGAGGTGGTACAAGGATCGTCGGAAACGTGCGATCCGATCAAATTCTCCGTGCAATACGCAAGTGTCAGCGATTTATTCGCTTAGGAAACGCGGAAGGTGTTCGGGCTGTACGAGAAAGTGCCCGGCACGAAAATGAGGGAGGCTGGGATCATGCTGATAAGCACCGCGCTAACATGCGTCGTTATTGGCAATGCGTATTATCAAAGAAAACAATTCTATCCGACCGTCGTTCACATAACCAAATCTAATCCGAGCATGACCGTGAGTTGAGCTTTCCTTAAAGCATTTTTTCAACATTCTCAATAAACCACGTTAACGAATGTATGCCTTACTATCACATATGTATTTGTACTCAGGTGATCTACACGCAAGGATTTATTCTTGCATTCATGATTAACGCCTTCCTGCGAAAGATCTTTTTCGGTACCTTACGCGCTGCCGAGCTCGAGGTAAGCGTCTCGTCCTTTTACATTTTCTTACGTCGTTGTCTTTCTTATAACATTACCTTGCAGCATCTAGTGGAAAAAGTCTGGTATGCCGTGACAGAGACATGTCTGGCGTTTACAGTGTTCAGGGATGACTTCAGTCCTAAGTTTATAGCGTTATTTACTCTCCTCTTGTTCTTAAAGTCATTTCACTGGCTTGCAGAGGACCGTGTTGATTACGTGAGTCTTGTGTCATCAACAGTTAAAATACAAGGATCTCTGCATGTATCAAGCATACATTCATTTTTATTATATTATATGTTGACATTATTTACATTTTTGTAATTATAACTATGTAATTATATTCTATGTAATAATTACATTCTGTAGTCAATGAATTATCTTTTATCTTTTAGATGGAAAGAAGTCCGGTAATAACATGGTTGTTCCATCTCAGAGTCGCTACTTTACTAAATCTTTTGTTTGTCATCAATATAATGATGATCAATTATGCCTACGATACAACAGCCACTAAAGGTCCCTCCGTACAACTTGTGTTTGGCTTTGAATATGCAATTTTACTAACTGTTCTTTTTAATATTACTGTAAAATATGTCTTGCATACTATTGATCTACAAAGCGAAACTCCTTGGGACAATAAACCAGTGTTCCTGTTGTATACAGAATTGATTATTGGCATATTGAAGGTAATTATTGTAAAAATCTTATTTATTTTTACATTAATTTATAATTCTGTATATGTGTTCTGTATATGTTTTATCTAACAAATTAATGTTTCCTTGTAGGTTTTCCTCTATTTTGCCTTTGTGACCTTAATGATAAAGTTATTTACATTACCTTTATTTGCATTACGTCCTATGTATTACACAATGCGAGACTTCAAGAAAGCACTTCATGATATTGTAATGTCTCGAAGAGCTATTAGGAATATGAATACTCTTTATCCAGATGCAACAACTGAAGAATTAGCTGCTGCTGATAATGTTTGCATTATATGTCGGTAAGTATTACAATAAATAAAATTGTGAACAATAACAAACGATTTATTAAGACTGTATGTGTAAATACAAAAAATTGTGTGATTTCTTGTAATGTAATCTGATACATTATATTTGCAGAGAGGAAATGGTCACAGCTAGTAAAAAATTGCCGTGTAATCATATCTTCCATACTGCTTGCTTACGTTCTTGGTTTCAACGTCAGCAAACATGTCCGACGTGTCGGTTGAACATTTTGAGGCCTACGCCGAACAACACAAGACCTAGACAACAAAATCCTCCTCAGCCTGGACCACAGGTGCCTCCGCAACCTCCACAAGCACCTGGTGTCAATCCTATCGGTATGACTTTGTGTTATTTCTTGTACTTGAGTTTTATGTACTATATATGTTATGTCCATATTTAATCTATTTCTTTTTATTAATACAGGTCCACCCTTTCATTTCCCGGTATTTTGGGCTGGATTACCAGCTCCAGGTATGCCACCACAACAGCAACAGCAGCAACAACAACCGCAACAACAGCAGCCACCGCAGCAACAGCAGCAACCTCAAAATAATGCTGGAAGTACTCCGCCTCAAAATCCAATACCACCTACTGGAAATATTCCACTTTTTCCACCACTGTTTCCTACAATAGTACCATTACCACCTATTCCTGTACCGCCACCGAATTTAATCGAATTGAGCGAAGAAGAGCTCAGAGCGATGGAAGGTAACCTGCGGCAAGCTGTTGAAGCCAGGATACAAACGCTGCAAAGAATTCAACTTTTATTAGACGCAGCCAATGCAATGATGAATCAATATCAAACAGCAGCTGCTACCGCTAAGTGAGCTATAATATTATATTCTATAAAAATTATATGTATATATATATATATATATAAGCGTGCGTGGGTGTTTTTTTTTTTGTGTGTGTGTGTATATGTATATATATGTGTGTATGTGTGCGCGTGTGTGTGTGTGTGTGTGTGTGTGTGTGTGTGTGTGTGTGTGTGTGTGTAATTCTATTATTTATTACATAAAATACCTATGACTTAAAATTGCAGCATTCCTGTGAATAATAATTCTACAAGCAATACCGATAGTACCTCAGATACATCCACGATGCCAGGTCCAAGCGGTACAGCAAACACAAATAATGGAATTAATAGCGATAGTTCTCAAGTTAAAGTAGAAAACACTCCTACTCCGAGTACGTCGAAGGAAAACACTCCTACTCCAAGTATATCGAAGGAAGACACGTCAGCATGTAATGATACAGTAGACTTATCTAGGACTGAATCTTCAAGCGAACAAGAAATGCTGCGCAGACGTAGGTTACAAAAATTTTCACCTCCACCAACAGAATAAATAAAAATAAAATTGTGTGATAACTTATGTAACATAATAGTTTTTAACTTGGTTTATTATCGGCCTCAATTAACGCAAACGGTCAATAATTGAGGACTGTATAAAGCTAAAGTTTGGATTTTGTGATTGAGACGGGATAAGACGAGATATTCGATATTGTTTGGGATTAAAAGGCAGTTAATGTTTTAAACACTAATAAGGCTGTTTGTAAAAAATCTTCAGTGATTATTAAATCCAGAATTTAGTGATAACCGAGACTGAAAGCTTGAGACTCAAATTGCAAACTGTTATACTACCAACAATCATAATCACATGGAAGAATGGTTTTATAGGAATGACAATTTTTTGTCTTTCTTTTTGTAAATTATTATACCAGAGTGCATATAAAATGTAAGGAATTAATTCCATTGACTTATTATACTTGATTATAATTTTCAGATTTATAAATGTGTTTACCTGTAAATAATTACAGATTTTCTTGCTATCTATATAATCTTTACAATTGTACGAGAGTATTTCTCATGAAACTACATGAAACCTTAAAATTAATTTCATGTTCTTTGCATAAACATGTATTTGAGTACCTTTATCCCTAAGCTTTAATATATGGAAATTTCTTATGTACATTTATAATTATATTGTCATGTAAATACGCCATATTTTTGTATGTTTCATCCTTTCATAAAACCAAGACAACATACCGATACTATCATGATAAACAGTATAATCATTTCTCATAATTAGCCAATGTATATAATTTATTTATCGACATATTTCTTTTTTTTTTTTTTAACAATATGAATAATGCATAAAAGTATATGTTTAGAGATAATTGTTATAGAATTAAGATTTAACTAAAAGTGCAGAAAGAATATGTATAAAAAGAGAAATGCAGGGACATAAACTTTAGCTCAGTCTATGAGTAAATTGTTTTATATTTCTCTTTTATTATTACATCAACATTATTATTAATACTATTAGTCCGGACTGGATATTTTATTCAATTTTCGATACTAACTGTTTGAATTAAAAACTGACTTCGATTCCAGATTATTCAGAAAAGAGACACTATAGTTGTGATATATAAATAATTAAACTTTTAAAATTTTTTTAAATAACTCTATTTAAAAAAATGAAATTTTTACATAAAGTTTTTTTTCAAACGATTATTTATAATCTGTTTAATCTATACGAGCTATTTCAATTTTATACAGTCGTAGATTATATATCGTATTTATTTTTTTATAATTAATAGCAATGAGCAAGTATTATAAAAAAAAATTTATCCTTAAGAGAAAAATGTATTGTTAATTTTTAATAGATATTTTACGTATATTATTTAACAATGGATACTGGTCAATCGCGATGTGACATTCTTGCTAATGTCAATATAATGTTTAACATATTTGTGACAAGAGCTATCGATCTAATAATAAATACGCGATTAAAACAATTTAAAGCAATGTACTCCACATGATATAGAAGAAAACTGACTGACATTAATGCATTCGCCAAGTTTTATTGATCAATCGAAAGATATTTATAACCTCATTTTAACATCTCGAAAATGCGCACACTCGGTTTCATAAAGCGGAGTATGCAACAACATTAACATGTAGAAATAACTTCCTCGATAAACATTAATAACGCCTGATAATTTATCATAATTCATAACATTCGCAAATTCGTTTTATACATTAATTTTCAGTGTCCTAATTGTTTTTTTAATTGTTCTATCGAATATAGCAACCGTATTTCTGCGATTCCTACCGAGATGTCGCCTGTATTACGTATGCACAGTATCTTATATTTTTTTCAATAAAATTATCGCTGTTTCTGCAGAGGAGCGAGAAAAGAGAAAAATGTGATATCCGAACGATTACTGGTGTACCGAACTACCAAGTTGTAAATTTAAGAGATATCGCGATGACATAACGATGTCATCAGCGAGATCGGTCTACTTTTCGAGCCGTTATCGAATCAAATACTACTATATATGTGAAAGTCCAATTATCGCCTCGTTTTTAATAAAGAAAATTATCATAATTTGATATTTCAAGAGGAAAATCAGTCAGATTCGCTCTGGACGATTATTATGAATATTAAATAAATACAAACATGTATATTATATTATTCTTCGAATATCATAAATGCGTGCGCGCGCAAACACAGGGAACATTATAATTATTACTCGACATTAATAATTTCCGAGTCATATCACTTCGATTACTTCGAGAAGTCGTCCGGCCATCTTTGACCGTGACGTCAGAAATCGAAGAACCCGGATTCTGGAGAAAATGCATCCGCGCGGAGATGAAATCATCGCATCGTGGCAGCATACGAGGCGATCGTTGCGCGCGTGCGAAGCGCATCTGAAAAAAAAGTCTCGATTCATCGCAATGAAAAGACTGCAAAGTCGCAGAAGTCTGCAAACGAAACTCGTACGTTCGCTGGCACTTGGCTTTACCGACGGCGTGATTCTCGAGGTCATCGCTGCCGTCGTCTTACATGATTTAGATACTACGAGAAACGCATCGAGTTTTCTCTGGCCATCGAGATTCAAAAGATAAGACAAAGTCAACAAAGACAACGGCGAAAAATCGAGGCTTAATATTTTATTAAAAAAAAAGAACAAAAAAAGACCGGATTTACAAGATTCACGAAGGAAGAGAGAGAGAGAGAGAGAAAGAGAGAGTGATTTAAGAATTGTTCGAAAGTCCGTCGACATCGTTCAAATCTCGCGCTATGCGTCCTTGCGTGTCACGCGGTGAACCCCGTGGCGCGTTGTTATGATCTATCATGGCGGAATGTAGTGTTGTGGCTGTTCGGTGTCTATGTCAATTTTAGAGTGTGCAGCTCAGGGGAAAAGGGTGCGAGCGGCGATGCGAGCCGACGGCGACTGTCACGGGTATTCGCATGAGTTAATCGTGTCCGGTTTTAGATCGCCGCCGCCGCCGCCGCCACCGCCGCTGTCGTCGCGGGAAGAGGAATTGTACACAGCGGAGTGGAAAGATTCACATGCGCAACATTCACTAACCAAAAGTATCGGTATCCAAGCTGGAGAGTCTCGTCGTCGTGCCGGTCGGGACGACGAGTCTAAACTGTCGCGTACATCCCGATTCGTCGCGGCCGCTGCGACACGTGAGAGTGTCGCGGACACGAGATCTTTTCCCGCGCACGATCTGCCTGCTGGATCGAGCTCTCCTTCGAGGGATCGGTTTGTTTAAACCTACGATTTGTCCGGTAAACGTCGCGTTGACGCGACTCGTGGACGCAGTGAGAAAAAAAGACTCCAGGAGAAACTCTCCACGTTCATCCATGACAAGCATCCATTACTCGTGCTATTCATCAAGTTCACTGTTTCAAGGAGCATGCATATGATTGTCGGCTGATCCAATTAGGAACCGACTAGTATAGCTTATGCTCATTATCCATCGCACGAGATTATTCACCTGAAAGTTGTGGACGCTGAACGTGGCTTTTCATGCACTGTCTTTCAGTAGAGAGAGAGAGACACTAACGCATTACCAAACATCTTGTTTATTATACGTATGATGCAATACTAATAAATCTTGAAGGGCATGCAGAAGTCTAACATATCTAGATTTCTGTCCATACATTGTTCCAACAGGTATTTGAAAATTATCTCGTAGAGATAACTGCCGAGAAAACCAAAGATTGAATTGAGAAAGGCATGCGGAAGAATTGGTGATACAGACAGTGCACTAATTAGTTTTACAATATGACGGACACACGTAGAAGAGTAAAACTATATGCTCTTAATGCAGATAGACAATGGGATGATCGTGGTACAGGTCATGTTTCCTCTTCTTATGTAGAGAGATTAAAGGGGATTTCCCTAATGGTAAGAGCGGAAAGCGATGGATCTCTTCTGCTCGAGAGTAAAATACAACCTGATACAGCATATCAGAAACAACAGGTATTAAAAGATTTTATGAATTTGTCTTTCTTATGAGAGAGAGAGAGAGAGAGAGAGAGAGAGAGAGAGAGAGAGAGAGAGAGAGATGTCTATGATTTTTCAAGCATAATCAATATTGATAATTAAATATGCTATTATTTTCGGCAATCTTGTATATAAAATATATACATCTTGTATATATAAATATTCTAATCTAATTTGTGAAAACTAGATGAATAGATGAATGTATATAATTTACTCATAAAAATTTTTTTAATCAAATTTTTTTTAATGTTGCATATTTTCTAATTATAAAATGTGTTTTTGTATTAAAAAAGAAATTAATATTTTTTATATTATACATATTAATGTATTAAATAAATTATAATTTATGCATGACAACATATACACGCGCGCGCGCGTGTGTGCGTGCGTGTGCGTGCGTGCGTGTGCGTGCGTGCGTGCGTGCGTGCGTGCGTGCATGCGTGCGTGCGTGTGTGTGATGTATAAGTAAATATATGTATGATTTTAGGATACTTTGATAGTATGGTCTGAAGGAGATAATTTCGACTTAGCCTTAAGTTTTCAAGAAAAAGCTGGCTGTGACGAAATATGGGAGAAGATTTGTCAGGTTCAAGGCAAAGATCCATCTGTAGAAATTACACAAGACATTGTGGAAGAATCTGAAGATGAGCGATTTGATGATATGTCAGATGCTGCACCGCCTATCGAATTACCTCCCTGTGAACTTAGTCGATTGGAAGATATTAATGAGCTCATAGAAAATTGTTTAACGTCCCCAATGAGAAAAGAGAAATTAGCAGTGGCACTAGAATCCGAAGGTTACATTAAGAAATTGCTAAATCTTTTTCATACATGCGAGGATTTAGAAAATATTGAGGGTTTACATCATCTTTACGATATATTCAAAAATATTTTCTTACTCAATAAAAATGGATTGTTTGAAGTTATGTTCAGCGATGATACAATTTTCGATGTTGTTGGCTGCCTGGAGTACGAGCCAACGTTATCTCAGCCAAAGAAGCATAGAGACTATCTTAAAGAGCTAGCCAGATTTAAACAAGCAATTCCTATTACAAATACTGAACTATTAGCTAAAATCCATCAAACATATAGAGTTCAATACATTCAAGACGTAGTGCTGCCAACTCCAAGTGTATTTGAGGACAACATGCTGAGTACATTGAGTAGTTTTATATTCTTCAATAAAGTTGAAATAGTAACTTTGATACAGGATGATGAAAAATTTCTTACTGAACTTTTTCGTCAGTTAACGGACGAAGCGACTTTAGATAGCAAAAGACGCGATTTAGTCCTTTTTTTAAAAGAATTTTGCAACTTTTCGCAAAATCTTCAGCCACAAGGAAAAGAAGGGTTTTATAAAACATTAACAGCACTTGGTATACTCCCTGCTTTAGAAATTACTTTGGCAATGAATGATGCACAGACAAAAACAGCTAGTATAGATATTTTAACTTATATCGTGGAATACTCTCCAAGTGTTGTACGAGATTATACATTACAACAAATAAACAACACGGAACAGGACCAAATGTTAGTAAATGTAATAGTTGCTCAACTTGTTGGAGATAGTGATCCTGAGTTGGGTGGAGCGGTGCAGTTGGCTGGTGTACTGCGTTTACTTTTGGACCCAGAAAACATGTTGGCTTCTGTTAACAAATCAGAAAAGACTGATTTCTTAAATTACTTCTACAAGAATAGTATCGTTACTCTAATAGCCCCTCTTCTGGCAAACACAATTGGAGAACGACCTGCGAGAGAGGATTATAGAACAGTACAACTTTTGGGATTGATCTTGGAATTGTTATCATTCTGTGTGGAGCACCATACGTATCACATTAAAAACTGCATATTGAGTAAAGATTTACTTAGAAGAATATTGGTTTTAATGAAATCAACACACACATTTCTAGTACTATGTGCATTAAGGTTTATGAGAAAGATTATAGCATTAAAGGATGAGTTTTATAATAGGTATATAACTAAGGGCAACTTGTTTGCACCTGTATTTGATGCATTTGTAAGAAACAATGGCAGATACAATCTCTTAGATTCGGCTATATTGGAAATGTTTGAATTTATCAAATTGGTAAGTAATGATTGTTTTTACTTTGTTTAATAAATAATATAATATATTAGAAAGAATTTATAATATTATACTATAATTTATATCTTTTACTATGTTTCAGGAGGATATTAAATCACTATGTTCAAATGTTGTTGAAAACTTCTCAAAGGAATTGGAAGCAATTGATTATGTACAAACATTTAAAGCATTAAAGTTAAGGTATGAACAACATCAAGACAAGTTGAAAGATCGTGATAGAGCTACAATTGACAGGTATATATTGATATATTTTTTTACTATATTTATAATGAAAAGAAGATAAAAAACCCAATTATATGGAACATATTATATTACAAATTACTACTGAACTGATAGCATAATCATTTTTATAAAAATATATTTTTGTAATTTAATAAAATTATTTATATATAGTGTCCCATCGATCTTACGAAACAGTCGGTATCGAAGGGACCAGAGGCAGCTAGACGAGGAAGAGGAATTATGGTTTAATGAAGAAGAAGAGTTTGACGAAGGTGAGCCAATAATAGCACAATAAGACCTATTTCCAATTTCTATTAAAATTTTTCATTGAAAATCATTATTTTCAAATTTTAATCCTATTATTACATTATTATTACCCTTAATCCTTCTATTATTATACATTATTACCCTTAATTTTATTACAGATTCTAAAAGTCATCAGCAACAACAGCAACAGCAGTCTGTATTAAATAACAATACTGCTAATAATAATATTACCTCACAACAACCACAGATCAATAACAGCTCATCAACAACGAATGAATCGCCAATTGCTTCGGAAATAAATCCTTCTCCAGCTATTGATACTGTGGAAAAAACGGGAACAGCACTATTTAAAAAGGTAAAACAAGAGATATAATAGTCGCACAGCATCAGTTTTTATATGCAATTAAAAATTATTGATATTGAAATCCTTGTAGTAATTAAATTGGATTTTAAATTTGTATCAATAAATGATTTTATTAGGTGTTGGAATTAATTCGTAGCGTTTTACAAGTGATGGGAAGTACTTTCATTAATGTATTTTTTAATGCTCATGTGAAATAAATAACATTCTTTCATTAAAAACGCTACGAATTAATTCCAACACCTAATATGTTAATTTCTAGATTTTATAAAATTTATATAAATTTTATTTATTTCTAGGGATTAGTCGATTATGAAGGAGATTCGGATGAGGAGGACGAAGATTCAGAATTAAGTCCTTCCCCAAAACGACAACGATTGTCATAGTAGGCAAACTTAAAAACAACAAAAACATTTGTGATTTTTAATTGCTATTATCATTTCATGCCCCTTCTATATGTAAAAACAGATTTATTCTCTCGTTGTCGGAAGAGACATAAATTGAGCTTATTGCTAAGGAATGGATACAACAATAAGAGTGCTTTTAAAAAAATGTATGGTGGGCACCCATAGGTCTGTCTGTGACACGTGTATAGTATGTGAAACTTAAATATGGTGTGATTGAAAACTAAATAAGCTATATCGACAGAGTGTATCGATAAAACAAAGGAAGCATAAACTTTCTTTAATGAAACGAACAGTGTAGTATTGTGGCATAATACGATGTAGCATGATTTATTGTATAATGCGTTAAAAAAAATAAGAGATACTAAATGAATCACATAGAAAGAGTCCATTCCACTTGTCTGGAAACATTTTGTGCATTAGGAAAGATAATCTCACGGATATTATGAATAGTCTAAGAAGATTGGCCAAAATTAGCCAAGTTCAGTGACTTACAGATACAGGAGAATGAAACGTGTGCTTAGTAAGTACATTGATAAACTGGAATATGTCACAGTTAAACTGAAATGCGTCACAGTTGAGCTGTGACTAAACTGTAATCACAGTGTATCATAGTTATCTCGTAAGTCTGTCAAGGAGAACTTACAATATGTTGTAAGACCGAATTCGGAGAAGACAAAGAGTACATGATGTACCGCACAAAAATAACCGAACGTTTCATTTTGCCATTCGTAAGTTTCTTATCGCCCGCTGGGCAATAAAGAAAGAGAGAGAGAGAGAGAGAGAAAGATTCAATGGGTCAGGCACTATGAAACTTTATCCAGTTCAACGGACGTAGTATTTAGTTTGTATATATATGTATATTTGTAACGATTGTAAAACAACCACACTCATGGATTAAACAGAAATATGCAATTTCTTTAAGGATTCAGTTGCCTTTGAAATACTTTCAATAAATTTTCGGTTGTCAATGTAAGTAGTAGTAATTGTACAATAAATATTTGATTTATGTATATTTATCAGTCTGCACTTCATGCCCAATGTTAATCCTTGATGTGTAAAGTATAACATAAATGTATCGCGGAATATTAGGCTTATGTATAAAATATATTGTTCGTATTTACATGATGGGCACAGCCAAGAATGACAGAAAAGCGCTTTGTAAAAATAGACTTATATACGATTTAGCTTTGTTAAATTATGAACATGTTTATAATATAACGTATAATTTATATATTGGATACAAAAATAGTGTCACAGAGGATGCAATATGAATTTTTAATTTGTGTTTACGCTATTAAATTTAACAAGAGCTGAAGTGTTATAATAAATAATTTCATCTTACAGAAGTAAATAATATTTTCAATTAGATATATATAATCGCTTTAAATTGAAATTTAAGTTTTACTTTACAGTCATCATGTGAGAAGACTAAATTTATATATTTGAATCAGTTCCAGAAAAAAAGTCTACTTCTTTTGGTCCATTTATGCAAGCGGTAAAGTTGACAATGAAAATTTAAATTTAGCATTTGTCATATAATTCCTATAACGTATTACATTAATGATTTTAATTTTTATCATTTTTTTATTGAGTTGATTTTACAGAAAAATATTACAAATTAATGTACAGATTTTTCAATAATATGCCTAATACCCGAAAGAATTTCCAAGACTGCTTTAGGACTGTAAGTACATAATGCAAAACTTGAAATATTGCAGTGAAGATACACATGTACACATATACATATATATTAACTCTTATAGCGAAAGGGATTCAGACGTTAATTCAATCGCAAAATAAATAAATTGTGAATATCTGAGTAGGCAAATTTGCTGGAGCTGAGTGATACATGTACATAAAATGTTGTGCATTTGGACTGATCACAAAAAGAAGTGTAACAAAGGCTAATATTAATTAGTTAAGTAAGGTAATGCTGAGTAATGTTGTTCTTTATGTGTTTTACATATATCCACAATTTATTCGATAATAAAAAAAACAGATATTAAGCCTAGAATGTTATTGGGCGTAAAGAATGTAAGTAAAAAAAAAAGAACAAATGAATTAACATCTAAGTGATACTAGAGAGTAAAAATGCGATCACGTGCTATTTAAATTGAGAAATTTGATATACATTTGTACAGAGTGTGTTACGTTCTTATCATACATTTTATCATCAATAATATTCTTTATTATTTACAAGCTTCGATATTTTTGTTTCTATTTTTTATTAACATTTATTAATATGCATTATATTAAATTAAAAAATAGAACGAGCAAATATATTTTCTTGTTACAAATTCATATTTGTAGAATAAAAATACACTTTTAATAGGAAGTAAAATAAATCCAAATAAATTTGCTAGCACAAGATCATTATAATCTCATATTTATTGGCTGCTCTGAAAATGTTGGTGTTTTATCATGTCTTCTATTAATACAATATTTCATATTTATTATAATATTATTACATAATATAACTTTGAACATATAATATGACAGTTTAAAACATTCTGCCTCAGAACCGTCGCCGAGATCGCAACATACATTTTTCAACCGTCACATTGATATAACATTAAAAGAAGAAAATATGTCGAGACGTGCACACATTGTACAATATCACATGCTAACACTAGCATGCGTTTTAATTATATAATAAAACAAGAT